TATTTTTTTATTTTATTTCATTTAATTTAATTTTATTTTATCTTATATATTATATATTACTTCATTTTATTTCATGTTATTATATTAAATTTTATTTTAGATAATTTTATTTTATTTTAATTAATTTCACATTAATTTTATTTTATTTTGTCCGAATGTACATGAATTTATTTTGTTTATTTATATTATTTATCATTCATCTTATTTATCTTAATATTTTTTTTAATCCTTTTTGAATTTATTTTTTTATTTTGTTTTAGTTTATATAATTTTTTTTTTAATCAATTTATTTTTTTTTCATTATTTTATTTATTTTTCTATTTTATTTAAATTTTTTTTGTGTTTGTTTATAGTGTTTACATATTTAACTTTTAATATTTATTTTCATTTTATTTTATTTTACGTTCTTTTATATTATTGTATAAAATTTTTAACCATTTTTCTCTATTTAAGTTTTTAAGTTTTTATTTAATTTTTTTAGTATTTTTTATTTTATTTTAATTTCCTTTTTTATTTTTATGGTATTTTTTTTCATTTTTCTTTTATTTTATTTTACTTTATTTTGTATTATTTTATTTTAGTGTTAAATGTTCAGCTTTATTAAATCACTTCATGTCCTTTATTTAATATAATTTAATTAAAGTTTTTGTAGTTTTAATTTATTTTTTTAATATTATTTTGTTTGATCTTATAATATTTTATCATATTTTTTTTTAGTTTTGATTTTATATTATATTTTTACCTTTATTCGTTTTATTTCATTTTATTTCTTTTGTTATCAATTTCGTTTTTTTATTGTTTTGTTTCATTTTTTATGGGTCCTTTTATTTTATGTTGTTTCACTTTGATTTTATTTTGAAATACAATATTTGATTTTGAATATTATTTTTTTTTAAATTTTATTTTCTTAGGTTTTATTTAATTTAATTTTTATTCAAATTATTTCATTTCATTTTATTTTATTTAATTTTATTTATTTAATTAAATTTTAATTTATATAATTTATTTTTATTACTTTCATTTCATTTCATTATTTTGCTTTCTTTTATGTGTTATTTAATTTTATTTATTTTTGCTAAGTTATTTTTTTTCAATTTTTATTTTGTTTACTCTATTTTCTTTCTTTTTATATTTGTTTTTGTAAAATTTAAATTGCGAGTATTTCTTATTTTTTCATTTGTTCTGTTTAATGGGGCTCTACTTTATGTAATGGAGATTTAACAAGGAAATCCAAAGTATTGATGCTTCTAAAAGCCATGTACGTTACTATGGTGATGCACCCATGTGCTTGTATTTTTCAGCACATTTACTGCTGCAACGCGCACCCATAAGTTAATCACTATTCATTTAACGGGATTTTCCATGCGGGCGCCTAGGAGCACTCAGTACAAAAGCGCCATTACAGCCACCGCTACAGCGAATGATGTGCGAGTGATTTGTGTGAAAGTTTGTAAATTAAACGTATATGTCGAAATTCACATTTAATGGGTCAGAAAAAAAAATATTATTTTTGTTCACGTAAATATTTTTGAGGAGTAAGTGGCCCTTTTCTGTGGAATTATGTGTTAACTTTAAAAAATATATTTTTTAGTCTATAGTTTTGTGCATTTGACAGCTGAACTTTCAACGTCAACGAATTTTTATTTCCTGATACAGCCGACCGAACACATGAGCCGCAAAGTTAAATTTAAGCGCATCATTCATTTTGTTTTTGCTTTTTATTTATTTTAATTTTTTTGGTTCGCTCATCTACCCACTTTAATGTCTTCTCTTAATTAATACTTTTGACGATATTTCTCTAAAGATTCGCTTTGCGCTTACTTCTTAAAAACATGAGTAAGATACATAAATATATGTACATATATGTTTGCATGTTCTTCATTTGTATTATATGCACATCTCCACTTTATATTCTCTTGCGGTTATAATTACCATTATATATCTGCTGTCGCTGATGCTGGCGTGTATTTGTTTTTCAGCTCTGCTTGCATTCATTTTGTGGTCGGTGTTGTTGTTGTTCCTTCTGCATTTTATCTCCTTGCACTTCTGCTGCTGAATACATATCCAGGTGAGGTCAGCCATTTAATTGGCAACCATGCGCAACGCAGCTCAGCTCAGCTGAGTGCAACGCGTTTGGGAAAAGCTACTGAAAGCCTACAGAAATAAAAAATGAAGAAAAATCAACGTGCGCATGTGTGTGTGTGGCTTACAGCAAGGCGTTTAACAAATTAAAATTTTGCGGTTGGATGGCAGTTTGAGGTACTTCGTTTTTATTCTGAAAGATATGAATGGAATTTTATATTATGGAGTACATATCTGTATGTATATATGTATACATACTTACATATTTATATTATGTAGGTTTATTTATGTATATATGTTTATTTCTGATTTTTCTTTCATAACTACGCGCGCCGATAAAACAAATTTATAATTGAAATGTCATTTGCAGCAGCTCAGCGGCGATTTTCAGTTGTTGCGAGTTTGTGGCATTTTTATATTCTCTCAAAAAAAAAATAAAAAATAAAAATCATGCATTTCGTCCGGTGGTTTCAACTATTTTTTTGAAGACTAGCTAGCTCGAAGCGCTCTCCTTCTCTCAATTAGAAGGTCTCAATGAATATTTAAACAAATTTTTTTTATTAAATTGAAGACAAGCTCTTCACTAAGCTTTTCTTTTAGAAACCTTTGTCGTTATTTGCAAAGAATTCGGACAATCGATTTTCTCAAGAACGAACTCTTTACCAGCAGTTGCCGTATTTGTGAACCTACAAATATTCCCTCTCTCTTTTGACTGGCGATGAAAACTAGGTCAAACTCGGGGAAGCAGCCCAGACGGTGGTTAAGATCGGATTGACGGCCAGGAAGGTTTTGCTGTGTGTTTGGTAGGAATCATCTACTACTGCCAACAAATGGAACGCATGAAGGCAGCACTCATCCAGAAGAGGCTACCTTTGATCAACAGAGGCCGAATTGTGTTCCATCAGGGCAACGCCGGACCACACGCGTCTTTGGTGACGCGCCAGAAGCTCCAGGAGCTCGAATAGGACATCCTTATGCACCCACCTTATATTCCGGACCTGGTATCAAGCGATAAACATCTTTTCCTGTCCATGGCGAACGCGCTTAATTGCGAGAGCTTGGCCTCAAGAGTGGCCTGTAAAGATTTGAATCTCCGAGTTTTTGCCAATAGGGACGCAGCCGAGAGGGGTATAATGAAGTTGGCATCTCATTGGCAACAAGTTTCCGAACAAAATGGCGCATGTTCGACTTAAATCGGACAAATGTACACAAAGTTATCATATTTTGAAAAAATCAATAAAAAACCGAGCGAACCTTATACTTTACCTGATATATATATTGACTCCTGTCTGAGCTTGGGTTCATACTGATGAATTCAAGTGGTTACAAATTCTATCCAAATCATCTTCACACAGCTCAAAAAATATTTACAACTCTTCATTTGCAGCTGCTTGTCGAGTTTTCAACGCGTACTAATTTTTTTCATATTCAAATGTTAATGCAAAATCACTCCAGCTCGTTTTTGCTAATCAGTAGCCCTTCTGCTATCTACCATAATTTAATTCTTCGATCAGGCAGTACTAGTTTTTCGACTTTATGAATATTTTTTTCGGTCACAACCGTAACTGATCGTGCTGGGCGGGGCTCATCTTTACAGGTCTCTTTTGAAATAGCCGAGCCCATTTCTCCACCATCGTATTTGAAGGGATAGAGCCGTGAAGAACCGATAACAGTTCTTGTGGACCTTCAAACTTTCCTTCTTAAGTTTTTGCCTCGCTGACTTTGGATAAACCCTTCACTACAAACTGGCCTTTATGATCGATTTGGAGCTTTTGACACAAGTCGACACTATGTGGAGTAAAGTTTGGATAGTGTAAAGTGCAGCTGAATGGTTAGCATTGCGAACTAACCTTCAGACTGTCAGGGTTCGAGTCCCTGTAATATTTTAATTCGAAAATTTTTAAAAAGTTTATGTTTTTTTTTTTGAATTTAATAAAAGTAAATATGACGATAAGCATAGTGAATCGGCCTCAGAAAGTATCAGGCTCATCAGGGCATGTTGGCACTAATAAAATAATTCGAAAAAATTAAAATTTTATTAATGCCCAGAATCAATTTTCTCTTTGTTGAACCTTGTGTGACAATTGCTCTAAGTTCTCGATATATTTCAGGCCACAATAATATTTTCTAGGAAAATATTTAAAATCTTTTGCGGTTCTCGAGATTCTTCAAGCAAAGCGAATATTTTAAAAAATAGTAAGCCATATTAAAAAGAAAAAAATGAAAATGATCTCACCCTTGAAATAACAAACTACGGTTACTGTATCAATGAAAACAACAAAGAGTATTAGAAGTACACTTTTAAAAACATCAAAATTGTTTGAACCGGTGTTGGAGTGATCCGTTGGAATTTAGCTTATTTTTTTTGGGTCATTTAAATTTATTTAAATTCATGATAAACCCAAATATTCAGTTTGTTGCTGGTGGAACTAAGCGTTGAAATCGAAGTGTCGATAACCCAACATAATTTTCACCCAGATTCTACCGCATTTTTGACCTTTTGAAGTAGAAAATATGGGATGTTGAGTTAAGAATAGCTGAGTCAGTTTGGCTAAATTCCGGAAGCGAATGGAAGAACGACAACGCTGTGGCCTACAAACTCTCATACAAAAAAAGTGGTAGAAATCTACATTTTTCACTTCTAGGTGCGCAGAAGTGATCTGCTGATAATCTTGATGCTCTGCTCTATTATGTTTTCTTATTCTTTTAAAAGAAGTCAAAGCGAGACTTAAGTAACGTTAGCCTAACTTGAGCCTTATCTGTCGATGATTTGTTCAGATTTGAAGCCCAACCCATTTTATCACAAAGCGCCTACATATATTTAAGAACATAAGCACTCCCCCACTAAAGAATAAAATATTTTCTTTAAATCGTCTCACATTTAAACATGTTTTCTTCTCTTTTCGGTTCACTTTCAGACTGGCACCGCATTGCTGATTATTTACTCAACTTTCGCCGCCATTTATTACTCGAAAGTAAATCCATTGGTGTCCGATTATGACTACACTGACTATTTGGGCGGTGCACGTTCTTTGAGCGGCGGCGACGATGATTTTATCGATGATGATGATGACAGTGGCGGCGAGGGAGCGGCCGGTGGTAAACTACGACGACGCAGCAGCTGGCTCGATGGCATATTGCCACGCACAGGACGTACACTGCAGTATATACTCGATGCGCTCGATAAATTGCCAGTAGACCATCGCGAGGCGGACGAGGCAATGAAAAGCGAGCATTTAAGAGTAGCGGAGACAGACGAACCAGCGGTTGACAATGGCGTAGCGGAAGAGGTAAAAGAAGGAGTGTATGAAGATGATGATGCAACGACGGAGACGGGACAAAGCGTGGTAGGCGGGGATAGTCAGGAGGAATTGCTGGAATCCACGCAGCGGCAATTGCGCGCCATTTATGCTGCTTGACGGACGTAATGAGTGGCTCCGATAATAATTTGTATACATGACTGGTTAACGGTAAATGCATGCACATACGCATACGCACAAAAGCAGTGCAACTTTAAAATTAAAAAAAAAAAAATAAATAATAATCATAGTAATGCGCCGCTATAAATTCTCATGCAATTAATTACTTTACTTTTGTTTGTGCTTTCCTTTTGCCTTATACAAAATTCCATTGAGAGTCAGAAGGGGAGAGAATGAGGGAAGCTGCAGTTTACTACATACTCTTTTACTCGCACCATATAAACTCACTCTTAACATTCCTTATTCACATTCAATCAATAAAATCTCGTTTTTTTTTCTTTTTTTAAATAAAACATTAAAATTTTTATTTGACTCAATTTTTTTCCTTAAATTCTTTATGTTCTCCTTTGGTATCGATTTATTGCATGAAATTTATACGTGCGCGTTTACAGACATTTCGGCTACATGTGCTGTTGTTACATACATGCACATGTAGATAAAATAGTTAACCCGATGTGTTCACATCTGGCGGTCTTTTTTGTTGCCTTTAAAAGTTGCCATTTAATTTCACTAAAAGACATTTGATTCGGTGGAGAATGTCGGCATTTATGGTGTCCGGCGAAACAACGCATTTAAAAAGCAATTCATTTATATTTTAAAACAATAATATTTTAACACTTTCATATTCTTTATTTGTTTAAGTATATCGTATACATTTATGTATGTATAAATATAAGATTTTATTTTAAGTTCAAATAATATTATGTACTCGAAGGTCTTTTGGTGAAAAAAAGGGAAAAAAGTGCGTTTGTTTACGAAAAAGTTAGGAAATTTTAGTATTCTTTAAGTTTGGAAAATAATAACCCAATAAACAATAGAAAAAATTTTATGAAAAATTATGTAAGTTTGAATTATAAGGAAGTAAAGGTGAGTACCAATTTTAAAATCTTAGAATACAAAATAAATGAATAATGTAAAATAAAATAAAACCACAAAAAAAAAAAATAACGCATTAAGTTAAAGAAAACAAAAACAAAATGAAATAAAGTAAAAAAAAAATAAAATAACATGAAATAAATAAATTAAAAAAAAATTAAACATTTAAATAAAATAATATTAACTAAAATATAATAAAATAAAATAAAATAAAATAAAATAAAATAAAATAAAATAAAATAAAATAAAATAAAATAAAATAAAATAAAATAAAATAAAATAAAATAAAATAAAATTATATACAATAAAATGCCATAAAATGAAATAACATATAATTATTTACAATAAAACAATATAACAATATAAAATAAAAGAAAATTACACAAAAGAAAATAAAATAAACAAGACAAATTGAATTAATAAATTTAAAATAAAATTATAGTTTTAAGAATTTTTGTCCGAAGACTGTTGTCCGCATTATCAGGACGATTACGTTTTATCAAAAATCACAAACACTTACGTCCGTAACCAGAATGCGAGAATAGTGCTTATAAATATTAACTGTAAAGGTATTTATAGATGAAAATAATATAAAAGAATTTTATTTGATGGCCACTGTATTAATTTTTATTATTTTGTTGCATAATATTAGGCAGCCACTGCTTGGTAATTAAACTTAACAAGTTTGCCAAGAGCGATTAATAAATTTACTTTATATAGAAACAATTGAGAATGTGAAAATATTTTTTTTCGATTACTTGCTTCAGATAAATATGTAATTTCTTTACTCTAATCAATTATATATAAACACAATTAAGGTGAATTTATTTTTCTTTAGATATTTTAGACTGTCTTTGAAAAGTGGTTGAATAAAAATTTCACTCAACAAAGGACATATTTTTAATAAGTAGGTATTTCAATATATTATATATGTGTTTATATATTTATCTGTTTGTATGTGTACATGTGATTGTGTAAGTATGCGAACCAAAACAAATGGAAATGATTGCAATTATTTGAGAATGCAATCAGGAAAAAAATTTTTTAAATTGAAAAAGCCTTGAAAGTTATAAAGATGGCAGAGAACAAAGGTAAGTGTGCCATTGAAATGTAATTAAATGCCTGTAATTAAAATTATAAGGACTGCATTATTGAAATAAGTTTAATAAAGAGGAAGAAAATGAATTAAAAACTGCAAATTAATTGGCAAATGGAAGTTCGCAATATGCACGAAATGAGTGGAAAAGAAGAAGAAAAGAAGTAATATATGCATATACATACATATATATTTATGTGCATAAAGTTTTTAGTGGAATTAAAATATTATAATTACTCATATTTTTTATAGAACCTCGCTAAAGATGCCAGAATGCAGTGAATTCTTTAGTATTTCATTTCATAGCCAGATTAAATTGATGACTTACTGTCTCTCATCTAGCCAATAATCAGACTTCATGTTTATATACAATATTTCAAGAGAGATTTAATAAATAAAAAAATATATAAAAATGATTTAGAGTTGAGGAAAAGAAGTTCGTATAATTTTATTCTTATTTTTTCCATAACACTGTTATTTCAAAGTACGTGCAACAACGTATGCTACTGCTAACACACTTTTCAAGGCGTCAGCAGAAGCCAAACACTGCGGTCAGCCGTTCACAACCACAGACTTGAGTCGTGTTGAGTGTAAGCGAGTGAATGAGCTTAAGCTTCAACTTCTTTACACCACCGTCTCATTCATCGTCTAAATTTGGCGATCAATCGGCGGCAATCGGCTAGCGCATGAAATCAATCAACCGGCAGAAGCGAAAAGGAATTATATGTAATAAGTAGAAAAATGTTTTTCTTCCTTCTCTCGTCATTAGCGCTCGAGTCGTTCAGTCTACGAGTTGGTAGTTCGTAAGTCAATCAACTGTTGTCTCGATCATCATACCAAATTCGTTTGTTTATTTGGCTTAGCGCAGCATTTCATAAATATATTTTTAATATTTTCTACAATTCTACCATTCACATTCCGCATGAACTTTTCACCTGTTGACGTACATATTTTTTTTTGTTATTTCTATTGTTGATTAATTTACACACACATCTATATGCCCATTCGTATTTAACTTTCTGTGCTTTTGGCCTAGTTCGATTGCTTATGTTATGTCATTTCTTAGCAGAGAGAAAAGTAGAATATCTTAAAGCTGCTGTAACAAAGCGTAAGAAAATATATTTACATAAGCAGTGGAGAAGTAAAGTAAGAAAATATTGCTTTTGTTATGCTTGTGCCGGGTGACATAACACAAGGCCTTCATGGCTAATGTTATTTCTCTATTAATGACGTCTAGAATATTTATACTCTCTCCTCCGTGTACAAAATATTCTTACTAAATAAAGAACGATTTTAACTTATTTTGTTTTATCTTTGGTCTTTTCTACTTCTTTAACGGTATTTTTTGAGCTAAATGATCGCATATTTATTTCAATCATTAGGTATGGAAAACATTATCAGCCAAATGGCTGTCACGGCACAGTGACTGTTGCATGCCCTCAATAGCTTTACGTGCTCCATCTTTGAGGTCTTGAATCGGGGTTGGACCTTATCTTTCTTGCGGTCTCAAAGGAAGAAGTCGTAAGGAGTTAAATCAGAAAAGTTCGTTGGCCAATTGCGACCACCTCTTCGAAAAATAACATTTTGGGAAAAATTTTCCCTTAAAAGATCGATGGTTTCGTTACTTGTTTGGCACATAGCGTCGTCTTGTTGAAAGTAAACCTTTTCCAGATCAATACCGTCCAATTCCGGACATAACAAATAATTCATTATCTTTCGATAATACTATACAGTAAGAGTAATTGTTGTTCCAGCCTTATTTTCGAAAAAGTAGATTCAAATGACCCCGCCGGACAATAAATGGCCACGAACAGTTGCACATTGAAGATGGATAAGCTTTTTAATAATAAGTAATAGGGTTTCCGAGCATCAGATGTGAATGGTTTGCTTATTGACGTAGTCGTTGAGGTGGAAATGGTCATCAATCATTTTTTTGCATTTCAAGAACCCGAACAGCAAAGACAAGACGTTACTGATGATCGGCCGGCTCGAGTTCTTGTCTCAACTGAATTTTGTATGCCTGAACACCCAAGTCTTTATGCCAAATGTGATGTAATGACGTTTGTGAAATGCCCAGAAGAGCGATGAGGAATGTACAAACCTGGGATTTCTCAGCACTTTTGGCTACAGCAGCAACATTTCCCAGTTATTCTTCTTTACGTCCCATAAACTCCATTTTTGCCATAAATTCATGTAGCGTTCCGATAAGGTGCTGGGTGTTACTGATTGGTAAGATATCCAAAATTTTGACACAAATGAAATATCTATAGATTTATTTTATTCTATTGTGGCGAAAATGCGATGCGAATGTCAGAGGAAAGAGTGAAGCCGATAACTAGTACATTCTAGAGCGATAATATGAGAACCTTCGATATCGAACAACTCGATTATTCTACACTTTCGTCTACGACACTCAGCTGCCAAGGGAGTCAGTTACGAAGTGAACTCGTTGGCGACAACATCTGTATAGCGGAATAAACTATTTGCTTATATTGAGTCGTAAAGTAAACGCGGTGGAGATTACATTGAAGTAAAGTAAATTGTGAAAGTTTTATACAAGTGATTGTAACTAGTAAAGTGTATTGTAATTGAATTGTGAATTACTGAGTAAATAAAGGACATTAGATAAATTGATTATAACAAAAGAAAATGCAAATAAAGTGGCGATTTTTTATTTAACAATCTACAGATCGTACCCGAAGGATTCAGAAAATCATCGAGGTTTATTCAGTAAAATCGTAACACTATTTTATTTTATGTTGCTTTGTTTTATTTTATTCTCTTTTCTTATATTTGATTCAATTTTTTTTGTTTTGGTTTCACTTTATTTTACTTTACTTATTTTATTTTATTTCACTTCATTTGATTTGATTTGATTTTATTTATTTTATTTTTGAATTTATTTTATTTTAATTCTTATTTAATTGCGCTTTTCTTCAATATATATATTTTTTTTTTATTTCAATATATCTTATTTTATTCTGTTTTTTTTTATTTCTTTTTACTTTATTTTATTTTTTTCTCCTTGGCTTTTATTCTATTTTTTTAATTCATTTTTTTAGTGGCAGTTTTATATTTTCTTTTCTTTTCTTTTATTTAATTTAATTTGAATTGATTTGATTTGATTTATTTTATTTTTCATGTTATGTTGCTTTAAATATGTATATTTTATTTTTTTTTGGATTGCTGTCTATTGTTTTATTTTACATTATATTTTATTACATTCAATTTAATTTGGTTTCATTGCGTTTTATTTTACTTTTGTTTCATTTTATTTTTTCCTCTATTTATTACTTTTCATTTTCTATAATTTCAATTTATTTTATTTAGTTCTATTTTGTTTCGTTTTAATCTTTTAATTTTTTTTATTATATTAATTTTTATTTTTTTATTTTATTAATTTGGTTTAATTTAATTTATATTAATATATTTTTTTTCGCTTTACTTTAATTTTAATTCATCTTATTTTACTTTATTTTTTCTTTGCTTCGTTTTTTTCTTTTACTTTATTTTAATTTATTTTGATTTGTTTTTATTCTATTTTATTTTAATTCATTTTTGTTTAGTGGCAGTTTTATTTTTACTTAAATTAACTTGATGCGATTTGATTTGAGTTTATTAATTTTATTTTTGATTTTATCTTGCTTTACTTATGTATACTTTATTCTATT